TCAGAGGCACATGTTGCCTAGAGACTTGTTATGCCTGTCTCTTTAAGCTGCTGCTGACTGCCTCACCGTAAGGACCTCCTCCACTTCAGAGTGGGAAAGGAGCCCATTGGTTTCATTTAGAAAGGAGGTCTCTAGTGGGATCCCTGACCTTGCTCCTATGAGTAACTTGTCCCTGCTCTGCCTTGCTCCCAGGCACAGTTTGTGATTGTCTCCATCCACATCTCCCAGTATTACTTCATGCCCAGCTGCCAGTACCAGTTCCCCATCTTCATCCACCTCATCTGGATTTATGGGACCATCTTCTTCATCCTCTTCTCCAACTTTTGGTACCAGTCCTACACCAAGGGCAAACGGTTGCCCAGGCTAGCTCAGCAAGCAGCCCAGCACAACAGTAGCAGCATCCATGAGAATGGCACTGTCACCAATGGCAAGGTCAAAGCCAACTAGAGGGCAAGGCCCTCCCAGAGCCAATGAGAGCCCCGGGGCAGAGGCAGCTGGAACCTGTTCCCCTGCTCCTGGGTGCCACTAGCCAAGTCAAGTGCCTACAGACTGTTGTACCCCTGTGCCCAGCCCTGCTGTCCTCTGCCTGCATGCCCAGCCCCTCTGCTCTGAGCAGCCATGGGCGACTTCTCCTGCTCCTGGGAGGGCTTGTGCTGTTTCTCAGTGTTGTTGAGCAGAGAGGCAGCTGCCTGCATCACAGCTGTGGGGCTGCAGTCCCATTCCAGTGTTTCCAAAGGAACTTCCCCCAAGTGCCTACATCTGGCCCTTCTGCCTGGGGGCCACTTCCTTCTGAGTAGGACCAAAAGAAGAGACCGGTCCCTGTCCTGGTGCCCTCTCCTCTTCCCTGTCTCATCAGAGCCTATGTGGATGAGCAGACTTGACCCTGGTTGCTTGCTGCTGCCAGCTCAAGTGTGAGTGCTTCTGCTCTACCATGCCTTGTGCCACCTTGTTCCTTGCCACAGTGCTGTGTGTCCCTTCTGGTCCCTGTGTGCCCAGGTGGGGGGGTCTTGCCCTGGCCTGTCTGTGCTCAGGTGGGGCTGTGGAGGATGTAGGGGCAGCATACATGGGACTGGAGGGCCCAGAGCTGCCCAGTACAGTACACGTGCCCTGTGCCTAGTACATAGCAGGGGTTGTGGCAGCCTGAAACGCCTCCCCCACATGATAAGCCCGGGTTGCCTTGCCTTTCTGTGCCTGGGCTGGGTGCTTGGTGTGTGCTTTAGCTGCACTTACCTGATCCTGTATGGCAGCTGCTGGCTTGCTCCGGGGGGGGTGGGGCCAAGCTCAGCCTTGCCTTGGACCACTTCCACTCCTGCAAACTCAAGACTTGAGCAATAATCGCCCCCAGGATCGGCTCCTGGGCTCTCCTGCGTGGGACCAGCCTTGCTCTGGCCCAGCGTGAGCACAGTGGAAGATGGTTGTAGTGTGCCCTGCTGTGGTGCAACAGCGAGTGCCTCTTCTCCCCTGGATCCCACTGGGCCTGGGTGGAGGTGTGCTGTGCTGTGCAGCAGGGCTGTGCAGCAGCTCTCCTGGGCCTGGTGCCAATCACCTGCTCTGGCTGTAACCAAAACCATGCTGGTGGCCTTGAGGATGAGGTGAAGGAGCCAGGCCCTGTCAGATTGGGCTGCTCTTCTATTACAAATAAACAAACAGAAGGAGAAATGGCTCTGCCCCCTTGTTTTTCCTGGCTTGCTGTGCTCAGAAGCTGTTCCAGGTGCTTGGTCCTGCCGAGGGTGGTTGGAGGCAGGGCTGGGAGAAGCAGCAGGCGTAGCAGGTTTGTGTGTTGGGGGGAGAGGGCGATAGCAGTGTGCTGATGAGGCAGATGGCAGATTGTTTCCAAGTGCTTTGGTAGAGCAGCACTGAGGGCAGGAAATGTGTCAAGGCTCCTGTTGTGAAAGTGACTCCACCCTGTGAAAGAATGGCTGGGGTGGAGCATGGGTGTGGGCTGGGACCTGGGCCAGCTGCCTAGGAGGAGCTGCTGCTTTTCAGAAATCTTGGGGAGCTGAGGTGTGGCAGAGCAGGGAATGAAGACCCTGGAAACTGAGATGATGAGGAAGCAGCAGCCTCTTGCTTTCTACATCTGCTGAAGCCACAGCTGCTGCCATCTGTGAATGCCCCTCAGTGTGGATCTGTGTGGAACGTGGATGAGCTGGTCAGAGGGAGCCTTCTGTGCTGCTGCCTTGCTGTTACTACAGCAGCTCATCTTCCTGGCTGCGCTCTGCCCTCCCTCCCACCTGAGACAGTCTGGCTGCCCTTCTGTGCTGTTGGGGTGCAGTGCTGCCTTCCCTGTCACCTTGTGACCAGGGCACTCCTGAGCAGAGAGGCCAGCCCGGGGGCTGACTGGGGCCTGGGAAGAGAGGTGGGTAGCTGGCTGGAGGAATGCATTAGACCAGCAGGCCTCCAGAAGCTGAGTTTCACTGTAGGTCTGGTTGGAGGGTGGGAGGGCTCTAGAGGATGTCCAGCCAAAGCCCTAGAGTAGGGCTTGGTGCAAGGGAAAGCTCTGCTGACCCTGCCTGAGCTGCTTTACACCTCAAGGCCATGCTCTGAAATGTAGGAAAACCTCATGTGAGCTGGACTGGTGTGACCAATGTGTGTAACTCCACCTGGGCATTACCCTGTCCTGTAGGGCTCAGTGCCCTTGAATGTAGGAAGCCTTAAAATGGGATCTCGCTGCTGTACTGCGTAGTGTTCTCCCTGTTGCTGCTTCTCTGTGGGCAAGGAGCAGCAGGAGAGCTTGTTCTGGTCCCTGCTGAAGGGGTGCATAGAATCAGTTCAGTGCTCAGAAGTCACCACTTCAGGAGCTGTAGGTGAGAGTCCGGCTGCAATACAGCTTCTCCCATCCAGCCTCCTTCTCTCCCAGCTGGCTCTCGGTGAAGACAGGACTGTCTTTGCTTTTGCCCAAAATAGTAACAATACTTTAAACTACTTATGCTTGGCATTGTAAAATGGGCTGTTCCCAAGGTATGCTCTGCTCTCCCTTCCTCCAATTGTTCCTGTTAGCTGTGATCTTTCCATGGGCAGTCTGAGGTGCTTGGTAATTTATACCCTGTTGGGGTCAGTCAGGGCTGCTGCTCCAAACTGAATTCACACCTTATATGGCAGCGTTTCCTGGGCCTGCTGAGTCAGTGCCCAGCTCTTTCCTCTGCTGCTCCTCACTCCAGGGCAATTGGACTACTGTGGGGCCAAAGGAGGATGCTGCAATACCATCAGCTTCCAACAACGCTCAGAGGACTTTCAAGGTGTGTGTAACGCACAGCTGCTGGGGGTGGGTATGTGCTAAGGGGAGAGGCAAGACAGGCTGTCTGAGAAAGATAAACTGCAGTTACACAGGAGTAAAGAAACTACACCAGCTTTCAGGCATGTGAAGCCTGCCATCCAGGGTCAGGAGCCATGGGATGTCTTAATCTGTGGTGGGGCCACAGGGCAAGTCTGTGCTAACTCCCAATGACAAACCGCAGGGGCGTGGGGCCGGGCTCCTGCTGTAGCAGCACAGCGCTAGGGAAGGGCCAAACCTTGTGTGTGTGTTCCTGCCCCCTTCCCCCTTAGATCCAGCTGCTGTGCTGGGATGTGCTTCTGAAGAGGAAGAACTGCCTCTTCCTCCCCTGACTGGGGATGCACCAACAGCCCTGCTGGGAAGGCGCTGGGCTCAGCTGCTGCAAGCTGGATTTTGAGGCTGTGCCCCCCATATCAGCAATAGGCATGCGGATTCAGCTTGGCACCAGGGCTTCCCTGCAGCAGGAGGGGAGGACAGGGACCAAGGCTGCTGGAAAAACACACGACTAAGGGCTGTGCACCAGGTTGATGGTGCCTTGGGAGGCCCTTGCGTGACATCCAAGCTGGCTGTGGCAATGTAAACTAACCTTTTGTTTTGGATTGGGCTTTACACCCTTGCCCGCCCCATTCTGGCCTTTGGGGTGATTACAGCGGTTGCTGTGTGTTTCCAGCCCCTGCCCTCCCCTTTTTTCCAATAGCTCTTGGCTCCTAAATTCACTGCAAAAATAGCTGTTCTGCCCTAGCACTGTAAGAGCAGGCAGTGTTGGCTGCAGGTAGCAGAACAAGACTAACTGCTGTGTGCAGGCAACAGTAGCGCTCAGACCACTGAGAACAAGTCCGCAGGCTGCTCTGGCATGGGTGGTCACTGCTGGTAGGTGCCTGCAGAGCCACAGTAAGGCCCACCTGGCCAAGAGGCAGGGCAGAGCAGAAGCAGGAGACAGACATCCTGTGCTTTCAGTTGAGCCTTGCTCCTTCCCCCCCCCCCTCCAGCTGGCACCGAAGCTAGCAGCAGCTGGGCCCTGTTTGCCAGTTTAGAGTCAGTTCTCTGCTCTGTGGAAACAGAGACAAGAAGGCAGGGCTGCTGCTTCCTACCCCTGCTGCAGTGCTGGAGCCCTGGGAAAGGTCAGTTCTGGTTAAGAAGTCACCCAAGGTCTAGCCCTTTGGTCTAAAAAAAAAAAAAAAACCCCTCTTTTCCCCCTAATACTTCCCTTTCTCTTACCAGAGCCAGAACACCAAAACCAGTATTCAGCCCCAGGCCAGACTGCTCCATGATTGTGATCCAAGAAAATTAAGAGGTGCAAAGAAAGCTGGGTTTTCCTGGTAGGGCGTTGCTAGAGGAGGGGCCAAGTAGGGACTTCTACAGACACAGGCTGGACATCAGCTTCCCTCAGAGAGCAGTTACTGCTGCTAGCAGAGAGGGGCCTTCGGTGCCACAGCTTCCCCCTGTGGGGTGCAAGCAAGCCACAGCCCCTCTGATGGAGCTGCACTTGTGGTCAGCATTAAGACAGGGCAGGTGAGACCCCTAGGTGAGCTGGGACAGATGCAGAAGTACAGTCAGTGCACAGCACGCTCATCCTAGGACTTCAGGGCTCTGCTAGGCTCAGGCTGCCTGCAAACTAGCCCTAAAGAACAAGAGCTCCACCACTTGCCCAGATCCCAGACCTCAGGGAGGAGGGGCTTGGTTCTGTAAGCCATGGCCTTTTCTTCCATCAGACTCCATTGAAAAAATCCAATTAAAGCAGTTTATTAACATTTAAAATACTGTACACTGTGTAAACCAACATTTCCCCAACTCCCCACACCAGCCCTGTGCACTTATCGGATGCCCTGGTGAATGATGCTGCTTTTGGCACTGTTTGCCTTCTCTTTCTCCTTCTTCTTTATGGGGTCCATCTCAAAACAGCGCCAGAGCCGCAGCGTTTCATCAGCAGCTGCTGAGGCCACTGTTGCACCATCAGGGCTCATAGTCAGGTTCAAGACTCTCGCAGTGTGACCTGAGGAGGAGGAGGTGTGCAGTCAGGGCTGGGCAGATCACCATATGCCCTGGTCCCTCTGGTTCTGCCACAATGGTCAGGTTTGCTCCCATATGGCCTGAGCCCCACCAGCTTGCATAGCTATCCCCACACCATGCTGCAGCAGCATGAATTCACACCCTAGGCATGTGCATGGAGCAATGGTGTCTCTTCAGCAGCCCACAGGAACATCTCCCTCTAGCAGCATGCCCCTGGAGACCATTCTGCATCAGTGATGCTCCAGACCACCAGTCTGCTCAAACCAAGGACTGCATCTGCCTTCAGCCTCTAGCAGCCTTCCCTTCCCCAGGCAAAGGGTTCAGCCTACCTCGCAGTTCTGTGACCTTGGCCATTGTTGGATACTTCCATATAATCAGCTGATTCTGTGCAAAGCCATGGCCTGAAATGAACTCCTTGTAGTTTGTTGACCACAGGATAGAACAGACCTGGGAAGAGGCAGTAATGCAGGTAAGACAAGCTGCTTATGCTGATGCTCACCACCCAGTGATGAGCATGGTCCCCCCTCCCTTCCCATGCCTCTGGGCCTCAGGAGCCAGCAGCTCTGCATGGATGTCCTGCCAGAAGGTGTTTGTCACCAAGCTGATGTTCATGTCTCACCTGGGAATGGGCATCAACAACACTGAGGCAGGTGCCAGAACACACATTCCAGATGCGGATGTGTCTGTCACTAGTCCCACCTCCAGTGGCTAGAACATTTGACTGCCATGGACACCACGCCACAGCCTGAAACAAAAGGGTTAATTGTAAGCCATGCAAGAGGCAACCTGCACCCAGCCAATGCTGTGCATCTGCCTTGCACACAGACATGTCCTCACACCTCACCCACAGCAGCGCTGAACTCACCTTGACAGCACCTTGGTGCTGAGTGAAGGTCTGTACAGGAGCAAAGTCTCCACTGTCCCCCTGGGTACATGGCCAGACGTTCACCAGGTTGTCATTGCCACCGCTGGCCAGGTAGCGGCCATCTAGAGACCACTTGAGTCCACACACCTCCTGTGTGTGGCCAGCAAGTGTGGCCACGTGATGCTCAGCCACTCTAACATCATGGTGGTGGATGTGGCCAGTCCGTGCCCCACTGCAGAGAGAAGGCTTGCAGGGTCAGGCTGACACTTATTTTCACCAAAACCTACTCTCATGCTGTTGCAAGACTGCCATACCTGCCCACTGGGTTTCAACCAGTGTTACCAGCATCGCTGGCCTGTCGGCCTGAGTGAAGCAGCCACAGAAGCTCTTCACAACTTCAGCACAAACAGCAAGAGGGAAGAGAGGTGTTCTCATCACAGTTGCAACAGAACAGGCCTAGTAAGAACCCCAGGCCAGGACAGAAACTCCTCCCTGCCACCCCTAGCCACTCACAGATCTGAAATGGGAGTCTGCAACAGCTGGACACTGCCTTTCACCCACTGCTTTACCTGGAGAGGATGTAGCTGTTCCAGCTGAGGGACCCCACACGGGAAGAGTGGCTGGTCATATTTCGGAGACGTTTCTGATGCTGTATGTCCCATAGCTAGAGAGACAGAGCAATAAGTTCTCCAGAGGATGAGGGCACCCAGCCCTGTTGCTTTGCCCTAAGAAACTCGCTGCACAGGCTCTGGCATTCAACCTTGTCAGTGTGGGAGCAGAGATCAGTTTGTATCTCATGCTTACAGAACAGAAAAGTAACTCCTGGTGTCAGAAAACACCAAAAGCAAACTGCCTTGCTGCTGCAGGTGGTCACTGGCTGTGGACATTTCCACCCCACACCAGTCAAGTCAAGAGCGCACTGCATCATCCCTGTGCTAGCCAAGCCTTTGTCCCAAAGCCCCACAGCCCCAGCAATCTCTAGACAACACCTCTAGTGCTCCTGCACTCACCTGGACCTCAGCATTACTTGTGCCAACAGCAAGGTAGTTTCCTTCTTTAATCCATGACACAGCAGAAACGTAGTCATCTGGATGCTCCATCTGCAGCAGCTGGATAATCTCCCCAGAGGCGTGATTCCACAGGTAGACAGAGCTGTCCAGAGCCACTGCCAGGAAGTTCTGAGAGCTCCAGTCAATGAGATTCAGATCTACAATTTGGAATAGCAATGCAGGTCACACTGCGCTTTACCTGGAGAGCCCTGCCCTTCACCAGTGCTGAGACCAGATCTTCCACCTGCACCAGGGGTGTGCGTGCAGGCATACAGGCAAGGGGCAGCCTGCTAGGTGTCACCATGCCCAGCTAGCAGGGCCAGGTAGCTCTGATCCAAGTCACCTACACAGCACTCTGGACCACTGTTCCTGCAAGGCTACACAGGGACACTCCAGAAGTGGTCCATAAGATACTGAAACAGCCCAGTTAGAGCTCCAGTTCCTTGGACCACACCATCCTAGGAACTGCACTCCAGTGCAGAATGATCTCAGTGCCCAGGACTGAACATTGCAGCCTACTTACAATAGTCATTGCGGATCTCTGGTGCATCCAGGATCCGGTCTGGCATTGAGGGAATGTATCTGCCATTCTTCCTGCCAGATCCAGGTGTTGTTTTCTGACTGTAGAGCACTTTCAGGTTATTCTGATAGCCTGTGTGCAGAGGAACAGATTTGTTAACCTGAGTTACTGTTTCCTCCCAGCTGAGCGCTGCTCACCCAACTACAAACCCCTTTCAGTGAAAATGAAGTCCCGAGAGAAGAGATGCACTCAGAAGAGTGCAGTGCACAAAGATCACTAGCAGTATTAGCTGCTGAAACAGGGTGACTTCCAATTCCCAAATTCACAGGAACAAGTTTAACCGACAAGCACTTGCTTTTCTGTATCCCATTAAGTTTAGTGACAGTTAAGCAACAAAGTGAACACCAAATAGCTGGAAGCTTTTGCAGACCTCAGGAAGGTTTGCCACCTGCGGTGTAAGTGAGCAAGCAGCAGTTGTTTCAACTTTTGTAAATAAATTCACTGTAGCTGTTATACAGCCCCTCAACCTCAGGAAACCTAAGGAGGGAGGCTCCAGTGTCCGTAGGAGCTCTGAGAAGCTGCCAGCTGGTCTCTCCCATGTCCACACACAGGGCCTTGGTGCTGCTGTTCCCCTGCCCAGACCTCCAGCTGAGCCAACTCATGCAAGCTCTGTATCATACCTTCTGGAGCATTCTGCGGCTTTCCACAGAGGCGGAGGATCTTTGCCTCTTCTATGTCAAAGCCATTCAGATTCACTGCCCAGGCTTTCTGTTGCTCCTACAGAGACAAACAACCCTCAGCAAGGTGCATTCAAAATACAAAGGCCACGCTGCACCAAAAACTGCCCCTGGCAGAGCATATACCTAAAGCCCCTTCTTCTAGAATGAAGCATACAGCTGTGCTGCAGGAGCTGGCTACAGACAGGCAGCTCAGCGTAGTTTTTCCTCAGACATTGGCATGCTGTCCTGCTCATGTTTACATACAGAAGAGTGACAAATTCAGTGTCTCATTGCCAGTGGGGAAAGCCACAGCCACAAGGGACCAAATGCTTCACAAACACATTTCAGAACACAGTGTACACGTTCCAGAATAGCTCACCATGTAGACATTGTCCTAGAATAGCTACCACCAGCAGTTTCACTGCGCACAGGCTCACAGCTTTGTGTCTCTGCAGCCTGCTGTATTTTAAAGCCTCGTTAGCCCAAAGTTGAATTTTGCTACCAGAAGTGGCACAGGCTAGAGTGAGTGGAAGCAGAGGGGTAAAGCTCTACGCTCTTCCCTCTGCCTTGGGAAACACCCCTGCAGAGCAGCTACACTCAGGCTCCTGTGTACCCGTTCCATTTGCAGGCTCTACAGTTTCTAACCCATCCCAGGCTCCGGAAGCCCAGAGCTGGAAGCAATGATGGCTGAGGCTGTCAGCCTCATGTGCCTGCTTGATAGAACTCAGTTTGCTTCCCTGTAATCGGGCCAGGATGGGTTAGGTGTCTGCCAGTGATCACTGTAGTAACTCCAACTTCACATCACACTCACCTTCTTGGTAGGGGACTCCTCAGCAAGGTCATTCTCTTTGGTTAGGAGGAAACTGGCCATCTCCATCTGCATAGTGCTGCGGCTGGGAATGTAGCGATCCGCCCCGGCCTTTGTTGGGGTGCTCTGGATTTTGGATCCAGATTTACCTGCATTCACGTGCATAAATATGTTTTTACAGCTATTGAACAGCCTATATTTGAGCTTTCGAGAAACCGCAAACCCAGCACTCTGCCACATCACACCCACCAGGCAGGTCCGAAACAAGCAGGACTTGGAGAGCTTGTGCCACCCAGCCACAACTAACGCCCATTCCTGCCCCCTGCCCCGGATAACGGCACTAAGCTCCGACTGGGGACTGCCAGGAGACGGCTCCTTGGGCCTAGCGCAACAACTCCAGAGTTCACAGATAAGGGGAGGGTGCAAATTCACCGCTACAGCCGCTA